TAGCGTTTCTGCGCAAGGTATTAGCGAAAACGCCATTTTCGCCGTCACTACTGTAAAGGGCTGACGGTAGATGGACGGAATCCTGCAAGGAGTCGCTACACCTGCTAACGGGCACGTATTTTCCAGGGTGCACCGACTGTGGCAGTACTCCCCCTCCCCCTCCCCCTCTGCGTACATTTCCAAGGTGTCTGGTAAATAGTATCGTCACCGAGGACCACATAATGTGGGTCATCAAAACTTTCAAGCATAAATCTCCTATACCGGACCGAATTTTCTCGGCCCAGCTTCAATTCTCGCTAAAACAAATAATGTCGTGCCTTCAGGTAATGCTTAGATTCTGCCTAAAAGTCAACCACATTCCGGTCAGTTGTAGGGAGGTAAAGGTGGTGTTCATTCGCAAAGCTGGAAAAACATCACGCGGTACGCAAAAGGACTTTCGGCCCATCAACCTGTACTCATTCTTACTAAAAACAATATTGTCTAATAGCCTTTCTAGACATTGAAGGCGCCTTATCTTACCTTGGTCGAACTTCGAGTGGAAGGACCCCTAATCGACTTCGTCAGCCAACTGCTCACTAGCGTTTGTAGGGGTACCCCACAAGGATGTGGCGATGTGGTGCTTATAGGCAGGGTTAAATTTCCCCAAATGCTATGCAACCTGATGAAGACTGCACTCGCGACTCTCTCAAACTGGGCATCTTCAAGCAGCTTAGGGGTGAACCCCTCCAAAACCGAACTTGTACTCTTCAAACGAAAGTACAAGATCCCGGAACTTCTTCCACCATCGTTAAACGGGGTGGCGGCATTAGAGTCTAACCCCCTCGAATTTTCCAAAAGCCTTTATTAGTGGGCACGTACACTATTATGGATACTTGATTCTAAATTTCAGCTTCCTAGCTTTTACCGTTTGGGCTATGCGTTGATCACCAATCAATATGTTAGTCAGGACAAACTGTCTGATATGTATAGAGATAACGCGACGTTTTAAGAGTATATCATAATTTTAAATTCACATTTGTGTCTTTTCATGCCTTTTTGAGTCAATACGATCACGCACGAACTCGGAATATGAAACACGGCTCTCTTGTCAATGCTGTGCAGCGGTGAACCACGATCAAAAAGCAATGTCAGTGCCAATCTTAATTTGCTAGAGTAAAACTTTCGATAGTTGAATCCACCGGTACTATCGATATCGATACATCGAAGTTTGAATGCAATAAACAGAATATCTAAATAATAACATCTTATAATTTATTGAGATCAATTAGAACAAATCATATACATACATACATATGTACATACATCTGCCCGCAATGCGAAGCATAATATGCGTAGCTCCGATATTCGGTTTCTGCTTTACAATCGCTTACTCAGTCGTTGTTTGACTGTAGTTGACTTGATGCTGATCAAACGTTTTGGATGCGAAAGCGATAGAGCGTTTCATTCCATCAGGCTGGATGTTTGATAAGACTGCACCAATACCATATTCTGATGCATCTGTTGCTAAGATAACAGGAAATTCCTCATGAAAATGAGTTAATTTTGTTGCGTTGATGGCGTGAGCTTAAGTGCGTCGAAGGCGTTTTGTTGTTTTGGACCATAAGTGAACTCTACATTTTTTCTACGCAGCTGGTTGAGTGGTGCGGATAGTTCGAAGAAGTTTGGTATGAAATTGCAGTAGTAGTTTGCCTTATCCATGAAGGCTTCTAGTTGCTTCAAATTAGTCGACGGTTTTAATTCTTTTACAGCACGCAGTCCAGATAGGCCAGGAAGAATTCCTTGTGCGCTTATACGTCTGCCTAAGTACTCAATTTCATGCTTTAGGAAAAAGCATTTTTGCTTTTTGCATTTAACACCATTATCTTGTAGAACTTTTAGGACTTGTTCTACATAACTAATGTATTCTTTAACTGTTGGGGCAGTTATAATTTTGTAATCGAGATAGTTACCACAACCTTCTATCCCATTTAGAAGTTGTTCTAAGTAACGTTGGAAAATATCAGGAGTGCTAGCTATACCGTAAGGTACTCGTTGATATTGAAAAAGACCCAAAGGTGTACTCACGACCATAAATTGCTTTGATGGCTCGTCTAGTTCCATTTGTAGATAGGCGTGTTTGAGATCAATCCTTCAAAAATGTGCACCACGACGAACGATGTATAATAATGACTCTCGGTATTTGTCTTGATTTGAAGAATTTTGGCGTTGCATTTTGTTTCAATGTGACGGTTGCCTTATAGTTTTTCATTACTCCAAGAGCCGGTTCAAATACTTTGTTTTATTTAGTGCACAGAACAGTAATTTGAGGCGCGTATTGTTCAACCAAATTTGCCACTTGCCACAATTGCGAAACCGAATGTTTGAAATAAATCTAAGCCAAAAAGATTGTTTGCGCTCTCTATGCGCAAGCCTTTTGAATGGCCTCTACGTCTGCATAACGCTTTCCTTTCATGTGCAAATGCATTTTTCCGAAAAGGTAGAAGTTGCACGGTGCCATATCAGGTGAATACGGCGAATAAAATGTGATTTTTGGTCAAATAATCGGTCACAAGCGTCGATCGATGAGGCGGCACATTATCGTGCAACAAACGCCAACTTTCATCTTCGCGATATTCGGGCCGAATACGGCGCACCAAACGCTTCGAAACTCCAAGGTAGAATACCGCATTAACGTTTTGGCCAGGTGGAACAAATTCTTTGTGGACAATACCCTTGGAATCATAAAACAAATCATCTTTACTTTAGACTTATCCATGAGTGATTTTTTGGGTTTCGGCGCGTCCGGTGCCTTCCATTCAGCACTCTGGCGTTTCGTTTCGGGATCGTATTGGAAACACCACGTTTCGTCACCAGTCACAATATTGTAAAGGAATATTTTGTCCGTTTTGACCTATTTAATGATGTCCTTCGAATGTTAGATTCTGAGCAATTTTTGGTCGTCAGTCAATTTGTGCGGAACGAACCTTGCACACACCTTTCGTAAGCCCAAATGTTCGATCAAAATGCCATAACTCGATGTTTTGGAGATGTTCAATTCCATTTCCATCAATTTCAATGATGATTTCGGCTGATTTTTGATGAATTCACGCACAGTTTCGATGGAATTTTCGGTGATCACGAATTTTGATTGGCCCACATGTTGATCGTCATTTATGTTCTCACGACCACTTTGAAAACGTTGAAACCACTCGTGCACTCTGCTACGGGATAGGCAATCATCGCCATAAACGTGTTCCATCAATTGAAACGTTTCGGTAAAAGTTTTACCAATTTTCAAACAAAATTTAATGTTGGTTCTTTGTTCGAAGCTCATTTTCGCACCGGTAACACAAACATACTGACACTTAAAACGCAATAACTTCACTTCCAATAGATCAAATGTCATGAAATTCTCACTGTGTTTGTGTTTGTGTTTGTGGTTATCTGTCCGTATGCCAAATTTCATCATGATAGGTCAATTCTGAAGCAGTTATAGCCATAAATAAAATCGCTGCTCACGTTCTGCCTGGAGCTCTGCCCGCTGCTGTTGTTGTTGTTGTTCCTGCTTTGGTACAACTTTGTGCTGCATACATACATGCGTATAAACTCGACCCTTTTACCCTTTGGGTAAAGGGTATAAAAATGTCTTTTTTGGTGGGAGGTACAGGGTATTTAAGAGTTGAGCTCGCTCGACTTTAGCATTCTTCTTTATTTCCACATTTTGCGACAGTGTGCAGCTCACATAATATTGGAATTGGTTGCTTACCAAAGGAATGCATTACTTTGTTGCTCTTTTGCAGCTTCGGGCTGTTGATTTGATGCTATATTTGTAAATTTATAACTGAAACGGTTTCACCTGAATCCATTTGAAAAGTTATAAATTTGTGCAAAATTTCGACTTAAATTTATTTATTTATTTAATTATAGTTAACAAAGAACTGCTAACTTTGCAAGAAAAGAACAATATAAATATAAAATAATAATAATGGGAAATTAAAAACAAAAACTTATGAATATACAAAAGAATTCAATATATTGAATAGTAGAACATCAAAAATAAAATTAAAATAAGTGGAAGAAGTAGAAGAGTAAGATAGGATTAGAGGCAATCGGCTGTGCGGGTCCCAATTTAGACTGCGAAGAGCAAACAGTAAGAATTGTTTTTGGACAGATTCAATCAACATTTATTGTTCATTGTACTGTGGGCTCCATACACCAGAGCAATATTCCAAGATAGGGCGAACTAAGGATATGTACAATGATTTCGTAGTGTACGGATCGTCAAACTCTTTGTTTATTTGAATCAAATTTCACGATACCTGTAAAACTGTATAAATTTTCTGGCTGACGAAAACGTTGTGCGTCGTTGATCGTTTTGTTTTGATCGTCCTTTCGTACTTTATGATCATTTTTGTTCTGTTGCTTGGACTTGCAAACGACAGCTATGTGTCCCTTTCTATCACAATGATTGAATTGGGCTTGACGAAATTTGCAGTTTTGTGCTTTACCAGTTTTAACTGCTTTCTTCTTGTTTGCGTATCTGCGTGTGTTCACTGCGTTCACTGGAACATGTTTGCCGCTCTCGTTTTTAAGTGTAGCAACGGTTTTTGTTGTTGTCTCATAACTTTCGGCAATTATGAGCACATCTTCTAATGTTGGTTGTAACTTTTGCAAAGCTGCTAAACGTATAGGATCGAATGGCGTATGCACCATAATTTGGTCACGAATCATTTGGCTTACGAAATTAGCTGAGCATCAGGGTGCTAGACACACAAATTTACACTGGCGTGCGTAAATCGGTAACCCATTATTTGTGTGGCCCACTGCGTACACCCTTGTAGTCAATTTTCCTCAATTGTTCGTAAATTTGTGTGTTATTTTTAGTGTATAAAGAAAAATTTGATTTTCATTCATTCGATTTTATTTTCAAAATTATTATATGCATTTGGCTCTAATTATGTTGAGTATATACTACAAATTTAGTATTTACAAAATCAAAATGAACGTGAAAATCTTCCATTTTAAATTAAAGCTATTTTGTTGTCGTCATAGCACTTTGCCCGCCCAAGCACCACACACGACCGTTTCTCATAGTCCCAGCCATATGAGAAAGGGCATTGTTGCAGCAATAAAAAACCATGGTAGCAATAATAGAAATAGTTGCAATTATTTAAATGTGGATAAACGTCAATAGTATGATCCCTGCATTGCTCCCGAGTGCTTATTATATTTGCCTGTAATTATATTTATAGTAGCAATTTTGTAAGCTTTGTAAACTTTGTGGCACTTACCAAACATCCCACATTCTCTGCACGGTCACACTTGCCAGTCAATTTATTAAAATGCAACATACCCGAGCAATGCATAGCATGCGGCTCCCCGTGGTAGCATATGTAATAATCTGAACATGATTTGTGATCTGCAACAAGAACTATTTGAGCTGAACTATCTTCTTTTGGACAAACATTTGAAACAATAGGTTTAATGCTTTCAATGGAAGCACCAGATGTATTGCTGGTTGCTGATGGTTGAGCTATGGTAGGTATCATAACAGCTCCAATGGTGATCACCTCATTTCCTTCAAATGGAGATACTGTTATACCTAGATTCGGGCGACAGTCTACGTTTCCCATGGGCTCACACATTTCCTCTGCCGCACTGAAATAGTCACCTTCTACACATTCACCATCATAGGAGTCTTCACCATTACAGAAAATGTAATGTGCGCAACTTTTATTGGATCCTATGAAATGGCGTTCGTTAACGTCTTTGCATTCGTCGAACACGTCTGTTCTGCAATAGCTCCATAGCAACATGAACAAGACGTAGATATGCTTAGTCATGCTCACCCAAACGCCTTTAACATTTCATTCGGAATGACAGCATCATAACATTTTTTTAACGTATTATCACCACTCAGTTGAATTCGGCTTATCAAAAAGCAATTTTCGTAGAAACATGATACCAAAATGATGATTTTTCTGCGTGTTTTTTTATTACAATGTTTTTTTTTTTAATACAACTGATAAGGTAAATTTAAAACACAGTGACCTTGAACGACATTGAATTGAAATTTCTGTGGACATTCTGGCAATAGCAGATATCCCGATATACAGTAATATAGATAGTAATATTTTCGATTTAATGGATATGGATAGTTTGCATTTTGATTTGAATTCTTGCAACGCTGACGTATATGAGAATTTAAGGTATATGTATTTTCTGTCTCTACCGTACTATGGTTATTAACCAATGGGTCAATTGTATTAGCCGTTGGTGTTAATGTGAACTCTGAAATTGATCCTATAATGTCGGTTTGTATCAAAACCTCAGCTGTTGTCTGGAGTAAAGGTGTTGGGATTGTTGTAAGCACCTCTTCTGTTAAGTTACAGTTGATAGGCTGAGAACATACGCCATTACAATAATAGGAGCTGTCGCCATTACAGAACACAAACTCACTACATCTCTGATTATGACTAATCACATAGCTAACAATTACTCCCTGACATTCCTTTAGAAAAGCAGCCTGCAGAAAAGAGGCAGAAAACAAGTAGTACGCTATCCCCAAGAGCCACATATATAAGAACCAGACTGTCGACATCCGGAAACAGCACCGTCTGCTTTATGGGCTCAACAAATAAGTACCAACTGCTCGTATCAATTGAAAAGACACTTGATATTTTTATTAAGAGAATAAAAAGTGTCAGTAAACATGAAATTTAATTAAATGACCTTTTAGTGAACTAACTACGTCAGCACACAACCATTTATATCCGTAATGCTGCCACTACAGACTTGATTTTCAGTATTAAAAACATATCCTAAAGGACATTGCCCCACAAGTAAAAAGCCATCAATACAATAGTAATAATAGTTGCAGTTGTGTGGGTAAACAAATTTCTGGGTCATACCCTTTGTGCAAGCTTCTGTAATATCTATATCCGCATTTGCAGCAGGGCTCGTAGTGGAGCTCTCTTCGATTTGCTCTGTACTGCAGTTGAAGCTCTCATCACACACATCTTCTTCAGAACAGAACATCGAATAGTTACCATCACACCATATTACACTATAGCTACAATTTAGCCTAGTGTTGTTTTTGTATCCTTCATATGAGTCGCATTCGGTGATATTCAGTGCATTAACTTTGAGAAGAGTTGCCCAGCACACAACACTAATTATTGATATATATATGGCCTCATATTTGGTTGTTTTGGTGGATATCAGCAGTTGTGCTTGCCTTTTATACACCATTCGATTTTAGAAACTCATTGGAATTTAATAAATTTAATTTAATTAAAACAGACATGTTGTAGTGACAACATTTAATTAAATAGGACGCCTATCGGTTATCAGTTATTATCTGGTAGAACACAAGTTTAATAAAATGTTCTAAAAATGCTTGGCATTGCCATAGCACTTGGCGACATGCATTTGGACACAGCTCTTACGTTCAATATCCCACCCGTAATAGAAGGGACACTGCTGCAATGTCAGGAATCCTTTTATGCAATAGTAGAAGTAACTACATTTTTCGGGATGTGGGAAAAAGTCCGTCATGTGAGGCAAGCACTTATGAGCATTGGCGGTATCCAGCTATTAAATCAGGAGATTGATTATAATATAAGAACAGAAAAAGCACAACACTCACCGGACAGTTTACGTTCTCTGGATGATCACACTGTCCAATGTTTACGTTGAATTGTAACTGATTTGTGCAATGCATTTGCATTGCATGTCCGTGATAGCATAGAAAGTAATTAGAACATGACTCATTGCTTGCCATGAATATAACCTGACTTGGATCATCACTAATAGGACAGCTGGGCTTTACAAGTGGCTTTACGTTTAAGATGTCCAATTTTTCAGGTACTTCTTCTGTTAGATCTGGCTCTTTTTCCTCTGGATCATCCTCCCCAGACTCTTCTGCCGGTTCATCCAAAAAACACTGAACATTTGCAGCCAAGTCGCATGAGCCTGATTCTGGATCGAAATACTCCCCTTCATCACAATTTCCTAACATTGAGTCATCCCCCATACAATACACATATGATTGACAACTCTCCCAGCTGAGCACAAAAGTTTCATCAGGCACATCCTCGCATTCCATAAAGATATCAGCTCTTGTAAATCGAAATAGTACCGTCAGATAGAAGTATAGTAAATTTGTGTACATTATTAAATGGGGCGTTGTTCATTGAAAACAATTCTAATACTGATGCCTCTTTTTTCATTTTGGGCGAATTTATGAGACTTCTGAAGTTTGACTAGCAAAAAAATGTATAATTATGTTAATGCTCACGACAACGATTTCCTTTTAATATTATTACAATGATTTTATCAGTATGCCGTCGAGTGCCGGTTGACTGTATAGCCTCGATTCACAAACAACAGATAGTGTTTTTGGTACTTTTGCAACGCAGTTGTATCACTTGTGGGGGCGAGAATAGTGACCATGGATGGCTGATAATAATTATCAGCCAATTTATATTTTAAAAACCTCAAAATTTTCACGAATACCTTTTACTAAGGTGAACATCTCTATACGTCTAAAATACGTGAACTATTCCTTTCTTCGCATGTATCTACTACCAGAGGTTGCCTATAATATTTAAGTTGTTAACCATCTCTGGGAGAACTAGTAAGGAAACAAACTATCGCTTAAATTTCATTTTTCATTTTCCGCAAACCTAATACACTCTTGTACAATTCATGTACAGAGTATAAAAATGAACGAAAAAAGAGCGGCTGAAAATGCAGATAAATGTCAATCACGTTTGCAAGATCTTCGCGAAAGGGCATATACATCTAGAGCCTTGTAAACGGACCAAGAATGGAATTCTCGGCTTCGGCAAATGCGAGAAAGGGCATCCACGTCAAACCCAAGAAACACAAACAGGAGACAATGGATATCCTTTGTACAGACGAAAAAAGGTGGACGACGGTGGGTATTCAACTAAAATCGAGGATCTAATCGCAGCCATAAAAAGTGAAGGAGCTATTGGGAAATATGAGACATCGGAAAGCTTAAAAAGCACTACAAATCAGTGGCACAGCAACGCGAGCCGGATACGCAAGTACATATAATACATAATACAATTTATCCTGACTGACTGACTGATTGATTGGTGATCAACGCACAGTCCGAACGGTAAAAGCTAGAAAGATGAAAATAGGACTCAAGTATCCTTTCATAGTGTAGGTGCCCACTAAGAAGAGGGTTGAAAAATTCGATATCCAAAAAGGGGGGGGGGGGCTCAAAACGCTCTTGAGGCCTGAAATATAGGAGTTTTCCAGTATAAAAATGTTGGGGCAGAAAAGGACACCGCTTCAATAGCTCACAGCTCAAACGGCAAGCGCTAGGTAGGTGAAATTTGGGCTCAAGTATCCTATCATAGTGTAGGTGCGCATTTCAAAGGGGTTTTGGAAAAATATGGGGAGAAAACGAGCTCCAAAGCTTGTTTGAAAAATCTTCAGTTTTCCACCGATCAAATTTGTTTTTTATCTATATTGTGGAAGGCAAAACGTAGTAGAAAACACAACACTCTGCACAATCACAAAAGACGTCTTCTTTATTCAGTGACTCATCAGAGCCTGAGCTCGAGCGAATTGCTCGAGCTACAGGGTACAGCGAGATCGGGAAAACAGCTGAGAGGGTTGCCAGAGTTCTTATGTACATACTTATCCTACTACAACTCGGCCATCCTGACAGCCGGGTCTCCTGATCCCGGTGTGTTACATATTCCAATCGATATTTCGATATTTCAAGTATGAAAAATTTTTATTTAATTTGGTTGTTCTTGAACTGAGGTTTTCAACACTGGTCTACTCAAGTCAATTCGTTCACTAATGACAAAGTTATTCAATATTTACATACCGACATAAAAGATGGCGCACCCTGTATGTATGTATGTATATAGGCGGATAACGCCTGCATGAAAAATTTAAATGTATGTACATATCAGCGTTGCCGAACGCTCCAATTTTGGCGGGATGTCCCGATTTATAAATCAAAATTAAATGTCACGCGTCGGACTTTTCGGGGATGACTCGACCGTGCGCACAACGTGCTGAGGAAGCACACAGTTAAGTCATGACTGGCAGTCCACCCAGTGGGTAACGAAGATATGTACATATGTATGTATGTACGTATAACCATACATAGTACTTATTGTACTATATTTGCTATTTGAAGAATGAACTTTTTAAAAAACTTTAGAGAGCGTCGAAAGAAGAATATCGTATAGTAAATAAACTTATAATTATAAGCACATTGTTTACACTAAAACGTGTGCGTAGACTTTTACGATGTAGAATATTCTGACCCGCAGCTATTGCTAGCTGCATACTTTTATTTAATTATTTTTCGTCCCTTAATGCTATGCTGAGTTTGTAAGGCGCAGCGTTATCTTAAATTTACTTATGCTATCGCTGAGTTTGTAGGACTCAGCGTTGTCTTAATTCTATTTATAAGTACTATCGCGTTTCTCAGACCCTTTTTCCGTCGCCTACGTGACCTGTGTGCAGCCGTCATTAAATTTTATTGCTGCACAAAGGATCGCCTAAACAAACAGAGGATCGCCGCATGTGGCAATCGCACATGTCACCAGATAGCCTCGGCGTCTATCTGCTGCAGGTCCGTGACGACAGGTTCTCATGTTCATGCTAGTGCCTGAACACACATTTTACTTACTTTTACTTCATTCATAATATGCATAAGTTAATATAGCCTATAACCAAAGGGTGAAAGGCACATATGTATGGACATTCACACATTAGTGTCTCACATTTTGCTTTGGCTATTTCAATCGTTTGCACGCAACTACACGAACAGCTGCTTGCATGTGTGTGTGTGTGTGTGTATGTATAACATCTATGTATGTACATATGTATCTACATATGTATGTATGTACATTCGTCTTGCACTGACAGAGCAAGAAATGTAAATTAATTGAAAATTATATAACATTTTTAAAAGTAATTTTTTCTTTGTTTAGTGCATTTGGCATTAGGGTTTTCATTAATAACTTTATGCAGCAACAACAAATATCAAATAGTTGGGGACATCACATACACACACTCACACACACAGCAAGCAACAGTTCGTGTCTATGTGTGCGGTTCTCTACGTACGGTTGAAAAAGTAAAGAGAAACATACATCTGTATGTATGTATGTAGGCATCTAGGTATGAATATAGCATGTACATTCGTATTAATGTATACATTGGGCAATCGAACACAGTTGTTTGATTGTAAAAAAAATAATGCTCTAAAAACAACAACTACAAGTCATTGGCTCGCTCTTCTTCTTTCGTTTTGACCATTTAATGTTAATTGCAAAAGCAAAACGCCAAAAGTTTACAGTTACCGTCGCTAGGCAACGACTGCGTAAGCGATAGTAACGCAGAAACCGAATAACGGAGCTACGCATATTCTGCTTCGCATTGCGGGCAGATGTATGTATGTATATGATTTGTTCTTATTGATCTCAATAAATAATTAGATTTTATTATATTAATATTCTGCTTATTGCATTCAAACTTCGATATTTTGATGGTATCGGTGGCTTCAACTATCGAAAGTTTTACTCTAGCAAATTGAGATGAGAATTGTCAGTGCTTTTTAATCGTGGCTCATCGCTGCACGACATTGACACGAGTGCCGTGTTTCATATTCCGAGGTTGTGCGTGACCGTATTGACTCAATATGGCACGAAAAGACTCAAATGTGAATTTAAAATTAGGATATACCCTTATAATTATTCCCCCTTTTTTGCAAATCGTCTATCTTAAAACGTTGCGTTATCTCTATATATAAAACAGTTTGTCCTGACTAATTGGTGATCAACGCACAGCCCAAACGGTAAAAGATGAAATTTGGACTCAAGTATCGTTTCATAGTATCCATCATAGTGTAGGAGCACACTAAGAAAGGCTTTTGGAAAATTCTAGCTCCAACGGGGGGAAAACGAGCTTTAAAAAATATTAGTTATAGTGGTCATGTTCGTTTAACGAAATAGTTTGGCAAGAACAAAAATGTAACGGACTACTGAACAATTTTTTGTCAAGAACAGAAAATGTTCATTTAAATACCTTAAATGCCTTCCTACTGGTAACTTATAAGGTGAAAACATATGGGTAGGTTATGCACACACAAAATAAATACAATTGGAAACATTATATTGAGCCAGGTTAAGACGGGCAATACCTGCTAGTAGTAAATAAACTTATAATTATAAGCACATTTAATTTAC